CAGCTACCGCGGACCCTCTTCCTCTGCCTCGAGGATTAAAATTCTGCTTTTGATTATTAGCTGGTGGCAGACCTCTCTCCAAATTATTTCTCTTGAGAAAGCGTTCAGCCTGTTCACCTCTTACTTTCAGCTCTTTCCAAGTTTTGGAGGGCACAACCACCATGACCTCTAATACATCCAGCGACAAGTTATTGTGACATGTCTATAGGATGAATTCTTCTGTGAGTGGATCTCGACAATTCACTGCTTTGTCCCAGAATCATTTGACAAAAACATCAACCGACTCCCCATCCTTCTGCTTCTCGTCCAACAACGTGCCAATAGAGACTTCTGTGTCGTCGTCGAAGAAATTGGTGAGGAATAATTCTTCCATATACTCCCAGCTAGTGATATTCCCAGGTTTAAGGCGTCGGTACCAATCGAAGGCAGGCCCGCGAAGGGTTCCTACGAATGACCGGACCATCAGGGTTTCGTTCCCGGATATTGCGCCGAGATGCGACTTGTCGTTCCCGGATATTGCGCCGAGATGCGACTTGAAATAGATCAAGTGCTGAGTGGGTGAACCCCTACCATCAAAAGAAGTAAAGTTAATCAAATTAAATTTTGGGGGATAAGGAATCAAGTCCCACTCCCTCGGGTACGGGTATGGAATGCCCGTTTTCTTCACTTCTTGGGCCGTCATCAGAGCGTTAACTTTGCTCTCGAGATCATGCATCTTCTTATCCTCTTCCTCACTCTTCTTCAAGTAAACTTGCGGAGGTTGAGTGGATGACTTGGTCGGACCACTTCCGGAATTGTCTTTATCTAGAGGAGGATCGTCGAAGATAGTCTCATCTTCTTCATTACGCCGCTGGATTCTGCTCTTTGGCTTGATTCCGGTTGATGTTGTTGAACCTGCAAATCTCGCATCTGCTGCATTGTCCTTTTGCTTGGGGTTTTTGGCTGAGTTGTGAGAGGGTATAAATACCCCATTGCTGATCTCTTCTCAATTAATCAAAGTATGTTTTAAAAGAAGTTTTTAAACAAGGGTTTTAAAAAGAGTTTAAGCTTGTTTAAGGGTTTCGTTTAAGCTGTTTTGGTTTTCACAAGTGGAGGAGATTATCTTCTTGTTTGGGCTCCAATCTCCATCTCTCCATCTTGATCTAGAGAAGTGTTTCTAAACTCATCTAGCAATTTATTATTTTGATTATAATTTCCATAAGCTAGATTTATATTTGAGTTTAGTTTAATTGTTTTATTGATACTCTTTGTTCACACACAACCTATTTTGTCGGATTACAGGTTTTTTCTTGTTGAAACGTCTCATTTTGGGTTTTGACGCTTCATTGGACAATCTTTGAAATACGGAGACTCTTGTTGAATTATTTTTAGAGCATCCGCATTCTGTCAGCACTGCTTTAATGAGTCTCTCGCAAGCGCAATGAGACTCGTTTTCTCGGACAATCCTTTTTCTTGAATTATTTTTCCGATAGTACAGCTCATCACTATTGTGATTTGAGCAACCTATCTGTGGTTTCTGAACCTTGTTAACATGCACAGGACGACTAGCTGTCGCCACTGAATGATCCAAGGTTAAATTTTTAAATACACCCCCAGGAGGGTGTGGAGTTTTCATAAGTCCTAAACGAGAGTGAACTGGTATTCTCTCGTTCTGGACTTGTGCAGTTCTGATAGGAGGGTGTCTACGACCCCCTGTATATGAAACCACTAAGGGTTTATTTGCTGGACTTTGGTTTTCTTTAAATGGGGCTTTGCCTCGATCGTCCACCGAAGGACCGAGGCGATCCGCCATCGTGATCTTAAATTTGGATAAATCTGGGCTAACCCAGGGTTTCACTGGTGATGAAGTAGACGCTGTTGTAGTAGCCTTATCAGAGCGAAGATGAAGACGAGCTTCCTTCTTTTGGCTATAGAGGGTGATGATGGAGCGAAGATGACCAAGGATCATCAACGAAGATGGATTGAACTTGTAGGGGTCAACGACGAACTCTTGTAGTGTTGGGGGTCAGGGTTCTCGTTAGTGGTGGTCAAGGAGCGAGATCTTGAGAGGAAGGGGGTGATGAGAAAATTGGTTACAGAGGATTTCAAAAATCATGCTCAAAAGGGGGTTTTCGGAGCGGTTTTCTTTTTGTTTTTGAATGGGAAGGGTATTTTCGGAAGAGACTTATTGGGTAGTGGGCTTGTACAGTTTTTGGGGGATAGTTGCACTAAAGTTTTCGTATAAGGGTTGGGTAGCATGAGTTTATATATATATATATTTTTTTAGCAAAAGTTGGTTTTGTTGAGGAATTCATTATATCTTCAGTCGATTACAACAAATTCAAAGGAATAGTCTTTTTATAAGACCTTTTCTACACAACAAAGCAAAAATTACAACTTTTGAGAAAATAACACAAAAATCGTCTATCGATTCTTGTTTTTGTGGGACTTTGCCTGTGCCGGGAACGCTTTGGTTCGTGGACCGCCGAATCACAGATCGTGAAAGGGGTTTACTGATTCTGACTTCGTTTATCGAAGTGAGAACTTGAAACGATATCTTATCAAAGTAAGATAGTCCTTCTTATTAAAATCAAGTCAAAGCTCAATTTCAAGGGAATCACACCAAGAACTCAAGTCTGCTCTCTCTGCTCTGAATTGCTCGAAAATATGCTCGATAATATGCTCGATCCTCGTCAGAAATGACCCTAGGGGGGTATTTATAGCCTCTGGAGTCTGTAACTGCAAAAATTCAACAAAATACTGATTTAGTACGGCGAGACAGTGTTTACTATCTCGGCGGGCGAGACAGTGTTTGCTGTCTCGGCCCGCGAGACAGTAAATGCTGTCTCGGAAAAAGAATATTCCTGACAGTTTTCGTTTTAACTGCCTTCCCACGTTTCAAACTCCGTTATTTTAGCGGTTATTCACGTGATTTTCGCCCACGATGTTCTCCACGTCTCTTGGCAGTTAATGGACACGTGGGTGGGAGTTATTTAAGTGGTTTTGGTCGTTTCAACACTGTCTCGCTGGCGAGACAGCAAACACTGTCTCGCTGGCGAGACAGCAAACACTGTCTCGCTGGCGAGACAGTTCATATCTGTCTTGATTTTTCTCTTAAGACAATATGAGGTGATTTTTGATGATCTTCTCTATGTTTGGATATCTATTAGTATTTTTTAACGCCTACAACCCTATATATGACAGCAGGTGCACGTTGTTTGATCTCAGTTGCAGCAGGCAATGATACTTCAAAGCTGTGGCACCAGAGACTCAGTCATATGAGTGAGAAGGGGATGAAAATCATGCACACAAAGGGAAAACTCCCAGGACTGCAGTCAGTGAAGATGGATATGTGTGAAGAATGTATACTTGGAAAGTAGAAGAGAGTCAGCTTTCAGACAAGTGGCAGAACCCCCAGGAAAGAGAAGCTAGAGCTCGTTCACTCAGATGTGTGGGGGCCAACAACCACCACGTCCATTGGTGGAAAACACTACTTCGTGACTTTTATCGATGATCACTCTTGGAAAGTGTGGGTCTACTTTCTGAAGCATAAGTCAGAAGTATTTGAGGCTTTCAGGAGATGGAAAGCTATGGTCGAGAATGAGACCAGTCTGAGAATAAAGAAGCTCAGGACCGACAATGGCGGTGAATATGAAGACACCGGATTCAAGAAGTTCTGCTATGAGCACGGGATCAGAATGGAGAGAACCGTGCTCGGCACGCCTCAGCAAAATGGTGTAGCTGAGCGGATGAACCGAACGTTGACAGAGAGAGCCAGAAGCATTCGAGTACAGTTAGGCCTACCGAAGCAGTTCTGGGCAGAAGCGGTCAATACAGCAGCTTACTTGATCAACCGAGGTCCATCGGTTCCACTGGAGCACAGAATACCAGAGGAGGTATGGTGCGGAAAAGAGGTAAAACTCTCACATCTTAAAGTTTTCGGTTGTGTAGCTTACGTGCATATTAGTGATCAAGGAAGGAATAAGCTTGATCCCAAGTCAAAGAAATGCACTTTCATCGGCTATGGTGAAGATGAGTTCGGCTACCGCATTTGGGACAACGAAAACAAGAAAGTGATCAGGAGCAGAGATGTGATATTCAACGAGAAGGTGATGTACAAGGACATGCACAAGACAGATAACTCAGAGAGCGAGTTAATATTTGTAGATGCAGATGATATCCCGAGTAACCTCTCGGAAGAACCCAATGCAGAGGGTCCTCAACCAGAAGAGCCTGTTGGACAAGATGGTGCGCAGGAGCCCGACGCACCAGCTCCGATATTAAGAAGATCTTCTCGTCCTCCTGTACCCAACAGGAGATACATGAACTGTCTGTTGTTGACAGATGGTGGGGAGCCTGAAAGCTTTGATGAAGCTTGTCAGTGTGGAGATGCGAGCAAGTGGGAGCTTGCAATGAAAGATGAGATGAAGTCTCTCATTTTAAACCAGACGTGGGAACTAGCTGAGTTACCCACGGGTAAGAAGGCCCTCCACAACAAATGGGTGTACCGGGTGAAAGAGGAGCAGGATGGTTCCAGAAGATATAAAGCCCGGCTAGTTGTCAAAGGTTTCCAGCAGAAGGAAGGAATTGACTACACCGATATTTTCGCTCCCGTGGTGAAGCTAAATACTATCAGGACCGTGATGAGTATTGTAGCAATTGAAGATCTTCATCTCGAGCAGTTAGACGTGAAGACGGCGTTTCTTCACGGAGATCTAGAAGAGGAGATATACATGTACTAGCCAGAAGGTTTCTCAGAAGAAAAGAAGAAGAACATGGTGTGCAAACTCAAGAAGAGCTTGTATGGCCTGTAACAAGCCCCAAGGCAGTGGTACAAGAAGTTTGACGGCTTCATGCACAAGGAAGGTTTCCAGAAGTGCAACGCTGACCACTGTTGCTACTTTAAAAGATATCAGTCCAGCTATATCATCCTACTGCTGTATATTGATGATATGTTAGTTGCAGGAGCAGATATGGAGGATATCAAGAGTTTGAAGCAGCAGCTGTCAAAGGAGTTTGACATGAAGGAATTGGGTCCAGCAAAGAAGATCCTTGGAATGCAAATCACGAGAGACAAGAAGAAAGGGTCCTTGCGGTTGTCTCAGACGGAGTACATCAACCGTGATTTGCAAAGATTCAACATGGGCGACGCCAAGCCTGTGAGCACACCCTTGGCTAGCCATTTTCGCCTGTCGAAGGATCAGTCTCCTCAGTCAGAAGAAGAGAAAGAGAGTATGGCTCAGGTTCCTTACGCCTCAGCTATCGGAAGTTTGATGTACGCAATGGTCTGTACGAGACCAGATATTGGCCATGCAGTGGGAGTGGTCAGCCGGTTTATGTCGAATCCAGGAAAAGCTCATTAGGAAGCGGTCAAGTGGATTCTGAGATATCTACGAGGCACCACACAGAAGTGTTTGCACTTTGGTAAGGGAGAGGTAGAAGTGCAAGGGTACGTAGATGCAGACTTCGGCGGTGAAGTCGATCACCGAAGAAGCACCACCGGCTATGTATTCACCGTCGGAACTACAGCTGTTAGTTGGATATCACAGGTACAGAAGATAGTTACCCTATCCACTACAGAAGCTGAGTATGTTGTAGTGACTGAAGCTAGTAAAGAGATGATATGGCTTCAGGGTTTGTTGACAGAGCTGGGATTCAAACAGGAGAAGAATGTTTTGCATAGTGATAGCCAGAGTGCGATACACTTGGCGAAGAATTCAGCATTTCATTCTAGAACGAAGCATATTGCGCTTCGGTACCACTTCATCAGATCCCTGTTGGAAGATGACGTGTTGAAACTGGAAAAGATTCCAGGAAGTAAGAATCCAGCAGATATGTTAACAAAGACGGTGACAGTTCAGAAACTGGAGTTGTGCGCAACTTCAGTTGGCCTTCATGCATAGATGATGAGGGCGGAGCCACACAGAAGAGGAGCTTGATGAGATAGCCTGATGGCGGCGGTTTGATCTCCAAGTGGGAGATTGTTAGAATGGGATGTAGATCAAACCTCATTTCCGATGAGGAGCTCCAGTGAAGTTCCGACGAGCTCGAGGATGACGCAGGCGAGCGTGGCGATTTCGACGACGAACGCGACCCTCGTTTGGGGCGAACGCGACCCTCGAACAGGCGAAGCTGCAGGTGAGCGTGGGTGACGACCCCCGCGTTCAGCACTCCGAACCCCGCGTTCGCACACCCCGCCGACCTCGCGCGTCTCTGAGCGCGTCTGACCCATCGGCGTCCAAGCGTCTTCTCACCTCCGTTCGCGGCCGTGGACTGCGTTCGCACTTCGATGTCCAACTGCTTTGTGGCGGCTACCGACACTTCAGGCGTCCAGCGAAGCGCTGGCCGACTAGGCCTGTCCGCCCAGCACTGTCAATGTTTTCGCGGCGCGTATATAAACGCCCGATGCGCCGGCCGTAAGTTTCGCTGTGCTTCCTCCTCCATGCTGATTTCTCATGGGCGGCGGCGAGCAAATTAACGCAGTAGCGTTCCTCATCTGGCAGAAGACTCCGAGCCTTTGAAACGCTGCTAAGCGCGATTTTGGTTTCCACCTCGCAGCACTCACGCGTTTTGAGGGGGCGGGGGGAGATTAAGAAAAGTATTAAGGAGAGAGAGAGTTTAAAAGAGGGGTTTTATATTGTGGGGTTATTCATTTATTCTCAAGTGAGAATTGAAAGGGTTTATTCCCTTTGATTATTAACACTGTAGCTATAGTGTTCATTTGAGAGATCTCATATTTGATCTGCTCTTAAATTGTAATTTCTTGTTTGATTAATAAGAAATTTACTGTGTGGCTCCCGAGGACGTAGGCAGTTGCCGAACCTCTTAAATCTTGTGTACTTTTTTCTATTCTGCGTTTCCGTTGCATTAGGGATTTAGGCGTTAAATTCCCAACAGTTAGAACTCAAATTTATGTTGTTTTCGCAGGTCAAGCCTATTCCGAAAACTTTCACATCTTTGGAGCAATATTTAGGTTCTTATACATATCCGCTGATAGAAGAAGCACGTGCTGATCTCTCTTCAGTTTTGGAAGGCTTCTCTCGAGCACCTTTTATCGAAATAAAAGCAATAGAAAAACTCATGCCTAAAAAGCAACTATTATACAGCATGGAGGTTGCAAACCGAGAAAATTTATTAGGTAAGGAACAATTCCAAACAACGGATGCACGTTTGTTTGCGTCGTCTGAGATGAGACCTAGACATATATCAGATTTAACTCGGAATGAAGGATCCTATATAATTGCATCAGTTGTAAAGGGTGGAGATGAGGAAGTAAACTCACCTAATAAGTTTATCATCAGAACTTCAAAGAGGCTACCAGTTGAGAAGTATAATGAATAGAAGAGGAAGAGAGTCTTTATTTGCTATATAGTTATTAAATATGACTACAAATAATCGCATTTGGAAATCTCTGGATCTGGAAATGGCACAGCAAAGGAATACTGACATTATCCATATGATCTTGGCCTATACCTGTTTGGTACGTAATGAAATCTTCCGTCATGTCCATCCTTAGTTATAGGAATTTATAAAGTAAATTAAATTTAGAAATTCATGTTCTTTCCGCTCTAATGTCAAGTTAACCAACCATTTGTTCTGACAATAGGCTATGGGAGAATCCTTTTGACTTCTTGTCGTTTATCTGTGACTCCTGATGATGAAATTCATGGGCTTGATTTAAATGAATTCAATCTCAATGATTCACAAAAGAATCTTGTGCTTGATTGCCTCTCTGTATGGCAGAGAAAAAAGAATTCTTTGCTCGATTTCCACTCTATATGGCCGAGACAAAAAAGGCCTCCATTAAGCTTATCTGGGGGCCTCCTGGAACTGGTAAAACCAAAACAATCAGTACTTTGCTGCTGGCTCTCCCAATGAAAAAAAGGCAAAACACTTTCCTGTGCTCCTACGAGTACTGCAACAGTGGAGGTAGCGACTCGACTCCTCAAGTTGGTTAGCGAAGCTTGTGGAAATAGCTGTTTCCTCGGAGATGTCATTTTGTTTGGAAACAAGAATAGAATGAATGTTGATGATAATCTCAGTGAAATATTTTTAGATGACCGAGTTGACAGGCTTTTGAAGTGTTTCATGCCACTAACAGGCTGGAGGCACTGTCTGATATTACAGAAAGAGTGCTTCAAAACTGCTTAACATGACAGTAGAAGGTGATCATAACATTTTGTCTTATTCTTTGGAAGAGATTGTTCACATAAAATATGAGACAATTCCAAAAACTAAGTTTTGGAGAGCCGGAAAACTCTGTATTCAGATTTTAAAGACCCTTTCAAGGAATCTTAATCTCCCGAGTATAAGTGACAGGCGGTCAATTGAAGATTTCTGCTTGCAAGGAGCAATCGTTATTTTCTGCACATCATCTAGTTCTTTCAGATTACATAATATTAAAATGAATCAAACGTTGGAATCTTGGTTGTTGATGAAGCTGCACATGAAAGAATGTGAGTCCCTAATTCCCTTGCAGCTCTCTGGGGTACGACATGCCATTTTCATAGGCGATGAACACCAGCTTCCCGCTTTGGTTAAAAGCCAGGTTTGTACGTATATACACATATGATGTTTTTTTATCTACTTATCTTGAATGCTAACTCTGCTGATATTGCTCCTTCCAGGTTTCTGAGAATGCTGCCTTTGGAAGAAATCTTTTTGAAAGACTAAGCTCACTGGGGCATGAGAAACACCTCCTTAATGTTCAGTATAGGATGCATCCATCAATCAGCAAGTTCCCAAATTCAAATTTCTATGACAAGAAAATCTCAGATGGTCCCAATGTCATGTGTGATAGCTACGAACAGAAATATTTAGCTGGCTCAATGTATGGTTCCTACTCATTTAAAAACATTCAGTCTGGAAAAGAATCAAGAGATAGCAATGGACGGAGTCTGAAGAATATGATAGAGGTTACCGTGATACAACAAATCATCAAAAATGTTAGAATATAGAATATATTCTTAGCATTTATTGTCATAATATCTAATTGATATTTACCTTGTATAGGTTTCCTCATATGGTTAGTTACCTTGTATAGGTTTCCTCATATGGTTAGTGTAGGAGTTTCCTTTTGTAACTCTTACCTATTTTGCTTTTGTAAATCACTATATATTGTGAGTAATGAAACACTAAACACTCACGGCAAATATTCCCTTCTATCTTGGTATCAGAGCTATTATTTTTTCCTACCTCTTCCAAACCCTCTTCATTTCCCTTCTTCGGCAATTCCATGGCCACTCCAAGCACC